CCCCCCCCCCCCCCCCACACATATTGAAAATTTTATAGCGACGGAGGGATTCTAGCGGTAAGTTGGATCTCGCACTTCGGTTCCATATGGAAAGTAGTTCTGATAGCTTTGCAGTCTTAATCGAATGGGAAAGTCTGATTGTCATTGTGCTTTCTCCCAGATTCAAAATCGCCTTTCCGCGGCGAGCACTAGGGCCAGACGCCTTCGATTATCAATCATGCAAGGATACATATTTGATGGTAGACTAGCGCGAAGAAGAACTGATGAACTCATTTCCGTTGACTTTCACTTAAATTTCATTTACCACAACTGTGGATGAACAAGGTAATTTCTAGCCTCATATTTGTTCAAACCCATGAAGTGATTGGCTACGATATTGTGTTCTCTGGTACCTCGTCCTTCCATCCTCACGACCTTATCAAGGCATAAATTTGCCTCAGATGAACCTTCTGTTGTGTTTGTGATAACTTAAGTTGACTCGTTCCTTTCAGTGCCATTAGCGGAGATAGTCGGCTCGTTGGCCGGAGTGGTCTCAACAGCGTCCTCGCTCGGCATCGACTCGGTGATCGGAGTAGCCTCAACAGCGTCGTCTGTGGGCACCGATGTCTCACAGTATAGAGCCAGTGGAGATGGCTTTGGTTTGCGGAGCTCGAGTGATCGGAGTGGGTGCGCTACCTGCCGCTTTGCGCGACCCCTCAGGCCTAGGTGAGCAAATGAGCCCGGTAGGGTCCTAGTAATAGTGACCTAGAATTACTCAATAGTAATTAATATAGGTGAAAGGTAGCATTTAACCATATAGAACTTACCGTAGTAATGGAGGGCTTGTCCTGGCTTTCATCGTGGAAACCGCGGAATGGACACTCTCTCAGCGGGTGGCTGATTTGGCCACATGCTGGACATGGGCGTTTGGGTGCCTGTAGATATACGCAGATGAAGTCAGTTACCAGCTGAACACTGAATGGATATCTGTGTATTGAAGTCTGTATGGCACGATCTCCCGATGTATATAAGCAGCCCTATGATGGTAGTTGCACTCACCCAGGATCGCGGGTCACAAACCAAGGCTCACAATACTAGCAGGGAACTATAGCAGACAAAGTGAAATAGCTTACCATTGTAGAGCTGCGGGTGTTGTCACCCAGAATGGATAGGGGTTGAGAATTGGGATGGAGATGGAGAAAGGTTGATGTAAAGAGGTTGATGTAAAGAGGTTGATGAAGAGAGACTGATGAAGAGAGACTGATGAAGAGAGACTGATGAAGAGAGACTGATGGAGGTGAGGTGGGATAGGGAAATAGTTGTTAAGATGATTGTAGAAGCAAACAAGAGTTTGAAAACACAAGTACTAGGTATTTGTAGATATCTCTGGCTACGACTATAGATATACAGACATAAAAACAGGGCAAACAAACGACAAAGTGAGTCAATTAGATCTCAGTTTCCATCCAACTTTAACTCAGATTCCATTGAATAATACGGGGCACTAATCTCACAAGAAGTGCCAACGATCATGATATTTGTTTAACCACAAGTGAGGATTTAGGTGGTAGACCTCTTGATGGAATCATTCACTTTCAAGTCCTCACTCGTCCCGCTATCAAAACTTGCCCCATGTTAGCGTTCTATTGTGGTAGATCACGAGGACTAAAGCCTACTAACTGTGCTCAGTGCTCATATCGAAGTAGTGCGACAGGTCACCGATGTGTTGTTAGTCGCAAATTTCCTCGGTTTCGATCTCCGTGGTAAGACACGGCAATGAGCTAGCGTTTCCTAGCGAGATACACATATTTTGTTAGTCAGAGTCCGAATCAGGGCTCGCAGAGATATTGTATGTCGGTAAAATAGCATTTTGCGTGCTACTGGACATGGAAGCTCTAGTCCCGAGATGCACGACCTCGAAAGTCAAACGAGAAGACATAGGAGATGTAAGCCTAGTTAAAGAGAATCCATACAGTATTCAAATGCAGACCTGCCGTTGCAGTGTCTCGCTCACAAGAGTCTCCCGGTTTACGCAGGTGAGCTCCTCCATTGCAGAGGGGAGCCGAGGGCGCCATGGTGATGCTGGAGAGAGGAATTAGAGAATGGGAGAGATTATGAAGAAGAGGAAAGAAGAGAAGCAAGATCTCAGGTGGAACCGACTTTGGGTCAAAATGGAAAGACTGAAGATAGGTATCTGAGCCTCAGGCTGTGTTAGGTCCGATTTGCGAAAGCTGTTTGGGCTCACTTTCTACTCAGATTTCCTGTTCTCTTGCATCTCACGCAGCCATTGTGGGACCAAGGCACCGGGTGTCAATATGTCATCTGCGGAATTGGCCTTGACTTTGGGTTCAGCCTTGGCCATGAGGTTCCGGTTTCAAAGTGCCCTCCAGTTTGGATGAGACCAACAGCCCTTACCAGTTGGTAATCAAAAAGGAGCATTTGTAATCTCTCACTTTTAATTCAGATATGAATCAAATTTCATTTACCGATATGGTTTGTATGTACCTAGATAGACACAACCCATTTGTAGATGTTTTGTTGAGCCTCCTAATGTTGGAACTAAAAGTGGAACTTCAGATATCACACCTCACACTGGTTATCATCCTTGTTGCCCTTTGATGCCTCAATCTCACTATGTACGGGAATTAGCCTCAAACCAGATTCATATGAGACTGGCTTGTAAATTTTTGGACTTACTTTATGTTTTCAGTCGTGGAGTGGGCTCCCTGTGCGCCGTCAGTCGAATGACGATCATGCCTCGACAAATGCGAAGGGAAAACGTGCGCTGACTCTATGTGTGGTGGAACAAGCAATGGGATCACGGATTCCACGTGTCGCAATGCGCGGGGTGCTAGTGGCACTGGTGGGCGATGAACAGGAGAGTCGCCAGGACGTGGGAAGGGGTTGTTGGGATTGGGCCGATTAACCATGTTGAGCCGGCGCTAATCGGACTTTATTAGTAACTATACTCGGAACATTCTTTAGCCAGGGGTTTTCGTCTTACCTGGAAGGTCATCATCCCACGTCTGAGATTTAGGAAGACAACGAATGGGCATTCCGCATCTAGATGACTGCTGCTATGGCAGATTTCGCAATGCACACACGCTTCCTAGATATATGCATATTTCAGGTTAGCCAGTGGTCAAATATAGAAAAAGCATTGTGAAATGGTATAGCATTATGCATGTCAATAGCTATGGGAAGCTCCAGGTCCAAGATACAACGATCAAGGATAATTGGAACCAAGTAAACCTGGCACGCACTGTTAATATACAAACTTACATCTGTAGTATCGCGTTCACCAGTCCCATTCCATTGCCACTGATCATCCCCGTTGCTGGGAGGAATCCGGGGTGTCATGATGAAAAGTTGATAAAGAAAAGATTGAGGGTGGGCATTTGAGAGAGAGAAGGGAGGAAAGAGAAAGAGAAAGAGAAAGAGAGAGGAGCAAGATGTCAGTCGTCGGTGATCTGCCAAAAAAGTGAAAGATTCCAGGCATATAGACATCTGCACCTCTTGGGTTGAACTTTCGGATGCCATTTACCTGCTACTCAGATGTTGCTCACTTCGTCTAATTTGCTTTCTTTTTACTCGATACAGACTCTTAGCTTCCGCGTCGATGCTTGTTTCTTTCATAAAGCACATTTCTAGCATCACCCTTTTCACTGAGATTTCACCTACCAAGAACCACCGATCACCCACAACGACCAGAGTCACGCCACGCTGTAAAATGCCTACAACAATATAATGGGAGAGCATGTGGCTAGGGGGCTTAGCATAATAAGATAAAGTTGAGCTTAGCCACGTACCTACCTAGACACTTTGTCAGCCCTGAGAGGCTATTGAGGTGGCTCCGTGGAAATTTAGTCTACGGAGGATACGTACTTCTAATCCTAATATACCGTCGGGGGTCTCGGAACTTTGAAGGTTCTGCCTTTATAACAACTTTCAGTTCAGCTCGGGGAGATACATAGTTAGCTCGGTACATATATTGAGTCTGTTAGCATAGGGTATAATTAATTCAACGCCGAACGCAACCCAGCCCCCCAACATTTCCTACCCTTCATCAAAATGTCTGGATGGATGATAGCTGCAATAGACGCACTTAACTATGCGGGTGCAGTAAGCTTCACACCTGAAAATGATATCCCAGATCTGACTGGGAAGGTCATCTTGGTCACGGGCGGTAGGTTACACTATATTCAATGGTGCATTGATGCCGCATCTAACACTATTCACTTCCACAGGAAATGCAGGTTTGGGCAAAGAAACGGTCCTCCAGCTGGCCAAGCACAATCCGAAGAAGATTTTCCTCGGCGCGCGTTCAGAAGCAAAGGCAGAGGAGGCCATCAAGTCGGTGAAATCATCCGTTTCAAACGATGCCGAAATCAGCTGGATACCGTTGGACTTGATGTCAGGTAAATCGATCAAGAGCGCAGCGGAGCAAGTGAACGCCCAGTCGTCCCGTCTCGACGTCCTAATACTCAATGCTGGTGTGATGGCTCTGCCCCCTGGGGAGACTGAAATGGGCCATGAAATCCAGTTTGGCACGAATCATACCGGGCACTTCTATCTCACCAAATTGCTGCTGCCAACAATGCTCAAAACGGCCGAGGAGCGTGGCTCGGATGTCCGCGTCGTGTCACTCGCTTCTGTGGGGCATAATTTCGCGCCAGCATTCGAGAAAATCTTGAATCAAGAAAAATTGAAGAAGGTTAACACAACTGCTCGGTACGGAGCGTCGAAGGCTGCCAATATTCTCTTCGCCGCGGAACTCAGCAGGCGGTATCCGTCAATAACGTCAGTGGCGGTTCATCCAGGTATTATCGTAACGAATTTATATGACGCTTTAAATTCGCAATCTGTGTTTGCTGCTTTGGGCTCAAAGATTTTGCGTTTCTCTGCTTCAACAGTGCGCCAGGGTGCGTTTAACTCGCTGTGGGCTGCTGTTGGGGCTAAGAAGGAGGAGCTCACAAATGGAGGATATTATGTCCCAGTTGGAATTTTGAAACGTCGAAACAAATGGGCATGCAATGAAAATATGGGGAAGCGCTTGTGGGAGTGGACTGATTTGGAGCTCACCAAGGCCAATCTCTAACAATATTATCTCTTTGTAGGCCGGGGCATGATTTCAGCACAGATTGCCACCTAGCTAGTTGATAATGAACTTGAATACTTTCTGCTATGTGGTTTTCAATTATATGTCCCTGCTTGATTGTGAGCAATCTTGGTATACATCTGACGGAGGTTCATTTTGAGATATATTAGTTGGACAGATCACGAATCGGCAACTTTGACAACCAACTTCCCAAGACCTCCCTTCCCACTGTAAACGACCTGGCATGCTGATCGCACTGCTTCGATGTCCGAAAGCTCAACAGTGTTTCCAACTACCGTTCTCAGCCTGCGCCCCTCAACATAACCTCTCAACTCGTCCAGATCTTCACCAGTCGATTCCAGAAACATATATGAATACTCAACACCATATCGCGATGCCCTGAATTTACGGACATAATCGGAAGCATTAAGTCCCATTCGTAGAGCAATAGGAATGCTACTCTTCTGGGGAAGATCCGTAACTGAGGATTCCTGGAGCTGGTTGCCCGATGGCATGGTCGAAATTGAGACAATACATCCGGATTGTTGTTTCATTAGGCAGAGGTAATCCATTGAAGAACCCACTGTGTCGAAGAGGAAGTCCACGGAGCCAGACTTAATAGCCTTTCTTGGGTCGGATTTTGTGTAGTCGATTACTATCAATGTGTAAGCAAGTGTTTATCCAGGAGGAATTTTAGTTCTTACTCTGATCGACTGTTGCTTCGCCTAGTAGCTCCATGATCTTTTCCACCTTGGAGGTCGAGACTGTGGTGATGACCTTGCCTGCATGGAAGACATTCTTTGCCAATTGGCATGCAAATAGACCTGTCCCACTCACTTTCATCATGTTAGACTCATACACGACAGTTTGCAGGACAGAAGCAACATACGGCCGGCGGGCACAAAGACAGTCTTTCCAGCCAGATCTCCTTTGTATTTTCTGAGTGCTTGAAGTGCAGTCATTGCTGCCAGAGGGATTGAGGCTGCATCCTCGAAGGACAATGAAGGTGGCTTCAGGGCAATGTACTTCTCTGTACATCTGACAAATTCACTGCAAGACCCTAGTATTCAAATGTCAGTGGGATCCTATTTGATCGTCGCGCCAGCACATACCTCGAGAAATCTCCGGCAGTCTAACATAGACTTCAGCTCCCACTTGAAATCGGGTCACATCCGATCCAATCTCTGTGACTATACCGGCACAGTCATAGCCAATTTTATATGGAAAGCTTTGTATGTTAGCTACACTTTTCGCAATGTATATGGAGTCGCATACGTGTCTTTCACCGCCAATTTCAACATTCCACCAGCTTTCTTCACGTCAATTGGATTGATGCTCGCCGCATGAACCTTAATTATCACATCTTTTGGATCAATGATGTCCGGCTTGGGCAACTCAGAAAGCTGGTAGCCCGATGGCTGTGAGTATGATGGGATGTTCAAGGACAACATATCCGGTTGAGATTTTCTGGGAGATGTAGAAATGCGAAAAACAATGTCGCGACCACACTATATAAATGGATTGAGGGTTGAAGTGAAATTTTAGGTTAAATGCCGGATGGTCTCATACCTAATATACGATTTCCTCTGCCACTTCTTGGCGTTCCCTTTCCGTTTTAGTGGTCAGATCTTGCCGCTTTTTGCTCACTGAGCAGAACTGAGCACGCCTCGAGGAGTATTACATAAGCGCTCTGCTCTGCTTAGCTGAGCATCACCTGACACTCAGCTGACTCACGACGCGACCTCAATAAAATGCACTACGCTAGTCTGGATCACGTGCCACCTTATTCTCTAGATTGTCCCATCAAAAAAGCACTGGGATCATCAATCATTCACCCTCGTTATCTTACTGCAGTCAATTGCGCCACAAATGAAGCCTGCTAATTGATCAACCAATTAGTATCATATACCATAGCACATACCCCTGAGAGCAATCATTCTAGTACCCTATAATATCCCAATTAGGAAATTGGTACTAAGGAAATTAAGTGAGTCTGCTTATGTTGTAGGCACTCGCATTCTTTTTTGAGGCAAGGCAACTGGTGATAATCTTTGCGGGATTTGACAGCAAAGTCATCTCTAGCGCCAATAAGTTCATACTTGTATACAACATATGCAATTGTCATCTCGTTGTGGGGCTTCGAACTTTCGGCCTCTAGGAGCCTGCTAGACTGACGATAGTTCTTAGACATGCACTAAATTGCTTGGCCAATTGCTTATTCGCTCGTAGTCCACTAAAGTTCCAAGAATTTAGACTAGCACTGCTACTGCGCAATCCGCAAAATTGGGACAGGCCCCTCAGTAAACAGACAATGGTACGGTGGCAAAGACGGCAACGAGAGAAGGAGCATCACATTAATGGCGCTCTGAACAATGCTCGGAGGCTTGCTAGTGAAGACTTTGCGCGAATCACGATGCTAAGCGCATTTTTGCAGCATGATCTATGCTTGACACTAATGCATCTATCGAATCCTCCAATTGTAATATTAGCAAATCCAACCAATTCCATCAATAACACTCGACTTACTACTCCGTAGTCAGCGTAGCATTGCATGGTACGCATGCTTGCGGGGCAAAATATGCAACAGTTACTATGATGATAAGCCATTTGTTCACATGTGGCTTTCCCGCGTAGGCAATTTTGTATAAAAGCAGGGAGACTCCTCGAAGACACTGAACTATTGATCTCTGTACCTCACCCATCCCATTTCTTGACTTGCAAAATGAAGACCAGCATCACTCTGCTTCTCAGCGCGGCCTTCGCCGGTGTCAGCATGGCCTGCTCCACGCCGGGTAACTTTATAGTTACCTTCTATGGCTACCCAGACAATTCTCCTCCTGGCCCCGGTACTGCCCACGACTGTGGAGGCCGCAACTTCGTTGCTGGGGGTATGATGCTTCTTCAACAACTGCTGGCTCCTTTGACTAATGATTCCTCTGGCAGGCACCGGCACCCACTCTGACCCCGTAACAATCGCAACAGCGCCTGGCGAGCTCAAAGTCTGCGAGACTGTGTATCTTCCGCTTCTGAAGAAATACGGTCGTTATGAGGACGATTGTGCGCAGTGCAGTGAGTATACGGTTCTCCTAATCCCCTAGTCAGCCCCTTTACTGACCGGCCTGAAGTCACCGACCACAAGAACGGTAAACCTCACATTGACATCTGGACCGGATCGTCCACCACCAATGGCGGCCAGCACCAGATTGATTGCGAAGATGATCTCACCTTGGGCGGCCGCTACTCTATCGTGCGCGACCCGCCGACTAACCTTGCCGTCAACGGTACGTTCTTAAGCATCAATTAACATTCTGAACTTCCACTGACGTATTCCAGCTGCGCCTCTCTTTGTGCCCCCTAAGACCTGCCACACGCAGAACGTTTACCCTGACAACGAGGCCCGTTGCTAGGCTATCATTGCCTTGGACTACATGCGGCAACAGGAGCATAACCTCTGTAGGTATACAGTGGATATTTTAGCACCGCATTCTTTTATGTGTTAGAATACAATGTGTCAAATTGAAGCAACCACCTTGAGAAAGAAATTGTTCAAATCTATCTATATATATTATTTAGCTCACCTAGTTGCGTATGACTATGCAGGCGCTTCTTTCAACCGAAGCAAGAACTCGAAGCCAAACGCCGAGTCTCAAAGAGTATACAGATGCCATAAAGAGTGTGGAACCAGCCCATTCCTGTAACCCAAAACCCCCAAAATTGCAAGCCCATACCCAAACCCATACATAAGAAATTAATAAATGATTGCAGTAGAGTGCACCTTCCACCTTCCAACTCCCACTTCTTGCTTTTCACTCTCCCTTCATAATCTCTGCTCTCCTCCTGCCTCAGTTTCAATTGATGTTGATGTTTTTCGTGGCCAGATCATCGGCATGATTGTCAGCCCTGGCTGAGTTTCTAGCGTCACAGCTTTGTTTTTGTCATTGGGTAATACCCATTGTCTCCCACACCTAGATCCATTGCCGTAAGGCCTGTCGATTCGTCGTCGTCCTCGGTTTCAATATGTCGGAATTGCTGGAGAAGACCTGTTTGGTGCATAAAGTTGACCACGTAGCGGGTGGCCGAGTATTAAGGAGGTTCAGTGCTGATAACACGATTTTTGCCTGGTAAGTCAGGCAGTGACACCTCATAGTCTCATGAATCTCAACATTATGCAAGATCACAATTCTCTGAGTCCCGTTCAAAGTTATTCTATTAAAATTTGCATGTAAAACATGTTAAGGGGCGTCCAATAACAAGTTTCTGGCTTGTAGCCCAGCCAACGGTGAGTTACTCATTGGCAAGAAACTGAAACCCAAGCTTAAACCGGCGCTTGGAACAGCAATGTGCTCGGGCTTGTTGTTAAGAAGTGCCAATGAAAAGTTTTACCTGGTAGATGGAGAAGGAGCCTTTTGATATTATTGCAAGGTTAATTAGAACGGATCTACAGCATAGAGTTCAAGAGGGTGAACTTGGAACAACCTTGGAAGGCGACACGATGTCTTTGATTAACGTGAGTTGCAGAAGTAGAGATTATAATTCACGACCAGTGTTGCCAAGTGAGTGCTCTGTCTTTAACAATACAACCAGCTGGTCCTATTCTAGGCTTGGCTGAAAGAACATATAATTATGCCAGGATATGAGTGAAAACACGGAAACGTAACGGAAAGGCTCAACAACAGCCTCTTTCAACCCTCAGGATTGTACAGGCAGTAGTCGTAATTGTTGACACGGTTACCTGCCCACGCCGGGAAAGCAACTGAGTTTCCAGAACCACCGAAAACTGCAAATGTGGCCAAAAACACCATCACCTGGGTGCCACCGTCCAGTGCAGCAGACAAAAGGTAATTCCACTTCGTAAACCATTGAGGTCGGTAACGTCGCAGATAGAATTGACCGAAAGCTCCCAGAATGTAGTAGCTGGTGACAGAAGCGTTCAGACCAACAAAGAGGTATCCAAGGTACCACAAAATAATAGATGTGTTGAGGTATGCCCAAATTCGCTGGCGGGGGAAGAAACGGTGCATGATGTAGAAGGGCAATGGAGCGAGGAAGCCAATCAAGAAAGATGCTGTGACCCATTGGTAGCGAGCACCAATAGAGAACATCTGGGGAGCAATAGACCAAGCAATGGCAAGAGTGTTGAATTGCTGGATTTGGGCGCCAGACCAAATGTTGGTTCCTTCGGCGGACTCGAGGATAGTTGCTTGATTTTGGACAATGCTGAAGACAAGTTAGACTAGATATCAATCTTGCAAGGTTTTTGACTTACGTTATCATCATGACATAGTTGAGAAGGGCCCCCATAACACAGCCAATGACTTGAGTGACAAACGTAGCTTTTGGTGACAGTTTGTTCTGTTGAGCCAGTTTCAGATCACGGAGAAGAAGTAATCCTTGCGTGATACCATTGTAGGTGTATGTGGTAAAGTACATGTTAGCTGGGATTTTGTTAGTGGAAAAATATCAAAATTTTGAAAGTAGCGGAGTGCATACCCAAGGGACGTCCAGGCATCATGTAACCCGCAAGCATTTGGAAAATCGGCTGCAAGTTGTATCCGAAGCCCGTAATGGCATACTGCGCTCCAAAGAAGACCATGAAAACGATAAGGAAGATGGTCGCGATAATAAAGCCCCACCACGGAAGAGTGGACTTCATCACGTATAAGCATACAAGACCAGTGATCCAGCTGGCAGCAAACACTAAGAAATACCAACTGCTCGGGACTTCCTCGTAGTCAAGCATCAACTTATAATGAGGGTCAATTAGAGGGTCCTGACGAATTTGCTCCTTCTCTTCCTCAGTGCGACCACCGCCGTGACGCCAGAACATATAAAGGGAAGGGTCCAAGATCTTCTTCAAATTGCTCATTGTCATCCAAGCCCATCCAAGGCTGATTTCAGCGTAATTCCAGAGGAACATGTGAACAATAGTGGCAGTGAGCCCAGCGTTGGATGTGATGAGATAGTTCACGTATGTTGCGGTAAGATAAGGCGCTCCAGCCTGCTCTATCAGAGTGCTGTTCACAGTGAAGTCTGCGTTCATGATTGAAGTCTCATCGTATGGGACAAAGTTGGTCGTGTTTGAGCTCTGGTCATAGAGGAGTTGAGACATGAAAGGGAAGTCCTGGGCTCTCCAAATGTTTCCGTAGTAAAGTGCCATGGAAAGGATAATACCTCCGAGATAACCGATGAGACTGTTGACCAAAGTTTGCAGCGGCATCCAAAGTGGTGATCCGAACCCGGCGATGTAATTCCAGTCAAAGCAAACTGACAGGAATCCCATGCCCTCGTTACCCTGAGAGCCTCCGAACAGGTTTGTGAAGACGGCGTTGTGTTGATCAGCCAAGCAGAAAATGGAAACCGCAGACAAAAGCGGGAAGATGTACTAGACGTTATCAGAGCCTGTATCGTGGATTCATGTGGTTGAGCAAACGTACCTCGGGGAACCACTCCCAGCAAAAGATTGCCGCAAATACGATCCAGAATACCTTGAATCTCTGTCTGGTCTCCTCCTTCGGCTTGTGCAGGGTCTCCATGACAGTCGTGATGGGTAGATTAATGGGGTACAGCATTGAGGTCGGGTTCACCAAAACATTCCGCATCATGCCTGCAACACCATATCCAATGAGTTGTGAAGAAAGAGTAATGAAGATTCCTGCAGCTTGATTAGGATATCCTCCGTAGTAGAGTTTTTGCACAGCCAAAGCTTCCGTTGACAAGGCCGAGACGGCTGCCGCTGATGCCATGAGGACTGCCGCAGTGTGCTCCTTTCGGTTCCACGGGAAAGGGTTAAGAAAACGGCCAATGACACCTCTTCGGGGGATGAAGGTAGACATGGCCGTACCCATAGTTTGAGCAAGGACAGTCAAGAACATGACCGAGACGTAAACAACCTGGGGCTTGAAGTACATGATTTCTTGCAAGACCGCTCCAAATGCGGACAATCCAAGACCTGATTTCGGGTAAGCGGACATGCTAAATTATCACAAGGGACACCGCAATGGAAGGGCTTACCAATGAAGAACATGCGGAAGGTCCATGGATTGAGTGTTGGGTCATCGTCGACTTGAATGACATGCGTGACAATCTCCTCCGCGGTTGTAAGGGGAGCTGCCCCTTTGGAGAGAGATTCGGAGTCGTCGTAACTCGGAAGAGGCACTTCCTGAATAGCACCGGTCTTATTCATATCTCCGCCCTTCTCCCCAAGTTTTTCGCTGATCATCCCCGCAGAGGTTTCGTGCTCAACCAGGCTATCTGGGTTGGTTGGCGTCGCCGCCATGTTGAGGAACTGACAAAGGTTGTGATGTCTCAGGAGTCAGAGGTGAGATGGGTTCATGCCAGGGTCAAGAAAAAATTGTCGGGTGGGGTCTTCTGATATATCTTTGATGAGCGACCAACGCAAGAAATGACATTCCTATTCTGGTTTCTAGTCTCCGGGGCTTAAGCACATGGTTTAGCCATGGAACCCAGCTCGTGGCGTGATAAGAGAGACTGATCTATAGTGTTTGCAGTGGGACTGGAACAAGCACTTGTCCTAAAAGAGAAAGTCGCCACACGCTTTAGATTCCCGCACTCACATGGCCTCAGTATCGCCGACGGGGGGCCGTGGAGCAGCATTCAAATGTATCGCTTTGACGCCGATAGCTATCTATTCTCATTAGCGATTAGTGTGGCGTCTGATTCGTCCGTTGTGTTAGAATAAGTTACTAAAAATGCTTATACGTAATGTGGATTCAACGCTAGCCTATCTGCAATCCCAAGGAGGAGGAGCGGGATCCGTCGGAAATGGGGCGAATTTGCAGGACTTGAACCATACCACACTCCATAACATTAAACCGTGGGGATACATTGGCTGTCTTATCTGCGCTTTGACCAAGGAGCACGCTACTAGAGTCCCAGGGAGCTTGGAGTGGGCTAAAACTAATATAACTAAACGACGGTACCCCGACGGAGTCCGCAACTTGGTTGAGATTCGATGAAAGGGCCATTGATTGGGATAGAGCTTTATCAACTTCTTTTCTCAATCACCATCATGACAAACCTGATTCCATAATTATTTTTTTTTAAATAGAGAGAACTAAGGTAGAGAAGGAGGGCAATCTATTGGATTAACGGATGCTATACCGAAGTGAAGTCCACTAATGTTAAGCTTTTTCCAGGCCCAGGTCCAGGTCCAAATCCTATTTCCCTTAAGCTAATCCAAGCATTTCCGTTCTCGGAATTAAGCACATTCAAGCATTTTTCCAAGCATTTCCCAAGCATTTCCCAAGCAATTTTGTTTCGGAAAAACTCCACGAACCCCGCAGTTGAAAAATAGCGTGACGTGGCCAAAGCGGCCCTCGTACGGAAGGCCCATTTCTGGTTAAAGCGGTCACATAGTCGTCGCCACTACTCCGTATTTCGTACCTCGTATTCACTTCCGAATACGACTCTTCACGTTCTTTACTTTCTCCTTGGTCTTTTAAGGCATCTAGGGCTTTGGAATTGAGGATTTCTGTGTTGTTACGCGACATATTTCTCTACCTCAGGCAGTGAGTGAGATATCAGGAACGGTTAATTCCATCTAAGTTTCGACTTTACCCATTTTTAATTGACAGGGTGGGGCTCGCAATCACCCTTTTCTGGCACTTCCTCCGACTGGCCCCGTGGGTGAACAAATTGCCCTTCACACATTTATCCTAGCGTCGAAGACACCATCCCGAGTCTCGTGCGGTTTTGCAGTAAACCCCAGACCGTCCCTTAAAAGCCTTCGAGGCAGTGACGGAAACTCTTACATTCCTTGCTCTGGCACATAATGGTGGCCGAAAATTTGGTAATATCGCAGATATGAGCAGTACAGTGCTAGCGTCTGTGTGGGCGCAGCTATTGAACCCAACTCGCCGAAGGCACAAGACATTGGAGTCGGAGTTCCGGGGAAATAAAAAAAGGCACCGTAGCACGAGTTTCCCAGTGTGGAGTCACCTAAGGCATATTGGGAATTCCAACCGCGGATATGTCTTAGTAGGACCAATCAGAAGTTGTTCAAGAAAAACCAAAGAGGGGCATTTAGCTTGCCTTCCATTGGATATCACAAATGGGGTTTCTCTTTTTCAGCATCGAGGTGATAATGGCAGCCATGGCGATACTCGAGGAGAATCTAATTGTCCAATCCTTTGATCTTGTCTTTCTCTGGTTCCCCATAGCCCTAGCCCCTTTGGTTCTAAGTATCATCTGCGTCGTGATAGGTCGGTAAGACACCAGAAAAATATTCAAGCTCAAACTTTATTTCATCTACTTCTCTCACATATCGTGTTTTCAGTTTAATAATCTCAGCAGACCATGTCCTGAAATCATGAGCTTCCATTCGGCCTGTGCTCATGATAATCTACCATCAAGGATTAGGATTTTATGAGCTTTGGAATCCATCCGAATTCAACGATCAAGTTACTATCTGTTTCATTCGGCTGGCACCCCTGACGTACAATTGTATAGAACCTCATTTCATCTAGAGTTTAGCAGCGTGATAGTATGTCCTCTTGGTCTTTAGTATCCTCCTATTTTCATCGCAGATAGATTCAATATCTGCATGAGCATGAAAAACATAGCTACTCTTTTCCAATGGCTTTTAGTGCGTGGGTTATCAGCTAAGGCGGGTTTCAGCTGAGGGAGACTCGCTAGGTCCTTAAAATCTCGCTTACATAAGCTCAACATCATTCCAAGGTTAAATAGATACTAGAATCCCTAAATTCCCTAAATTCTCTAAACCCCTAATCATAACGGGGCCCTAATAGAGAATACAGCGCTATAGAGGTGAAACATAAACGGGCGTCCACGGGTCTTCTTCCCGATTAGCTAAGTTGGCAGAACGGCCCCGTCTCCCTCAGCATTCTACGAGTCTCCTTCAACGAAACCCGCTCTTCGAGACCATCAAAAAGTACTTCACAGATGCATAGTATTCTTATTGTGGGGTCAGGTGCCCTTTTAGGTATAGACTGAGTCTGGACTGAGTGCTCAATAATGCCCCCACCTGGGCAGTGCTCCGATCAAAATCTGAGTAATCAGTGGACCTGACTAACATATCATGTGACTTAATATGAGTCGGACTGGAGTTTACTCAGCGAGCCTGACTCTGAGCGCCCTCATTAAAGCGGCGCCATCATAGTTCACCTCCAGACCCACAGCAACGGGTCAACTATCTATCCGGTGCATGCCAAGTGCTAAGATTATTCAACATGTCTCGGGTCTTTACCTCAACAGGTCGCAGAGATTTAATCAAGATGGAATCTCCGAGAGATCGTCAATTACTCGAAATGATTAGTATTGCGGGAAGGGTTTGCAGGATGTCTTTCAATACCAAGTTACCCCACAGACAACTACAACAATTTTATACAATTTTATACACAATATATATCATGGCACAAAACTCGCAATCTAACGCCTAGGAGAAGTTGAAGAACCGTATTAATTCCTTGTACATACATATATAGCTAAGCTCTTGCTGACCGCGAGTTATAGCCGTTAATTACCGTTATAAGGTTGACAGCATGCAGGTCCACGGTGGAGGCGTCCCCGCTGAGCCTTCGATCCTTATTTTGCTACCCATGGATATCATCTACTCACTCAACACAAAATCCACCACATTTCGACTCAAGGTATACTATAGGTGCCAGATGACTTATTGATCGGTCATTGTGCCAAGGGGGATTCTAACCTCTACATATGGAGTACAATTTCTGTGCGTATGATCTCAGGCTTCTTTCTCCCTACGTGTTACATTGTACATCACAGACAGGGGGAACGGGGTTGGGATTCTCAGGGGCTGGTTAGCAGGAGGCTGTTCGGGGTGATCATTTGAATTGAAAAAGATGGCTGTGAAGTCTAGCCAATGCGGCAAGTGACGATCATGGATCTTCACGAGGGACTGCAAAGTACAAGACAACACCCCTGAGATATGGACGGAGTATGCGCTCATATATTGATATCGGCTGTGTTTACGGGGCAGTATAGATGGAATTTGCGAACCGAATTGTACATGGGAAACCCATTATTGCTATTCTGCATATCAAATTATGGCTCGTCTTGATTATCTTCAAGAAATTCGAGTCCTCCAGACATGGGCTGATTTTTGTGGGCTCGAGCCTTGCCCAGCCTCAGTCTCAGCCACGGTCTTTGATTGAAGCCCCTACTGTATTATATACTTCCGCTGTACGGAGTACGTCGTACTCAATACCGATTAATTGTTTGAAATAATATTAGCGGATGAAGATCAATATTTTGATAAATACGAAGCGTGTTTGTGTATAAAATAACAGTGATAATTAGCTTCTTGTACAACGAGTGACCACGTGGACGGAGTAGTCATTGGGATCCAAGTCCTCAATTTACTGTCTAACAGCGTCGGATCCCAGCTGTGTTCCCCATCTCTTGGCGTTTTTAACTTTTACAACAGACTGAGCCAAAACACGGAGCTGGCAGCACTGATTTCGGAGATCAGGTGGCCGTTTGTTAATGATATTAAATATATCTTGGCCAAATATACTCCGTATGCGGAGTACTCCGTACTACGGACTACTTCCTTAGTGGGTTACAAATATTGAAGGCTTGCGTGCGGGCTATTGTGGGCCATTTGAAGGGTTGCATGATCAGCGACTTAACGCACACATTTGGAGCCTTAGTGTGTTAGCAATCTCTACTTCGTAAGACAAGGTAATTTGAAAGATATCGATCGTAATTGCAATGGTGTTACAAAATGATCGTAGATTATTGATGGCTGGTGGCCGGCCTCATGTCCTAAATTTCTGGCTAGGGGAGTGAGTGCAGAGTAGATCTTCAGTCCATCGATCACCTCATCGATCACTGTCATGCCTCCTATGCATAATATGTCGCATTGAATTGCATAAATCAGCCTCGGAAGTCCGAAGCTACATTTGCGATGAAGGCTGGGCACCGGAGACGGTCGATCCGACCGAAATCATTGTTTGATAAATCCATGATTACTCCGAAGAGTAAGTGTACAACACACAACATAAACCTCTCCGAGGTACGGAGTAAAAGTGAAAGAGATCAAGAAATGAACAACGGTGACCTTCTTTCACCTTCTATTGTGGGTTAGGCAAGGCAGAGAAGTACAGCTTACAACATACGCGTTAACAGTTATTAAAAGAACTTTGTTTTACCGGTGAGTCTGCCCCGAGAGCAGGCTGATCGTCCCCACTACACTATGGACAACCTTCACAATGACATCGTGTTCGTGTCTCGTAGTTACTGTGACTCGTGTATTATTAATTGCAGGGTTGGACGTGGTCATTACAAGCGTAAAAAGGTGAAGCTAATGAGGCCGAAATGCTGTAGCTCGGGTAGAACTATAATGCATGATATAGTGGTCCTAATAGAACTGAATACTGAATCGGATCAATTGAGAGAATCTACCCACCTCCCATGAATAATTATCCCGTGAGAAAATCCGAAAAGAGAAAGAAAATCTGGGCTTTGTCTGAGTGAGACCACGGCGAGTTAGACCTGATGCCTGAGAAACCAGGCCACAATCAGCCACCAGCGCCTCGGTTTTTGAACATTTCGATGCAACCCTACTCCGTACATATTACCTCGCCTCTTTGTTTGGCTTATTTTGTGAAACAGACAGTGTCCCACATGCTTAGCTCCAAAGTAATAAATTACTTAAGTTCAAGTCCGAATGTAATGAAGTGATAACGTGATAAAGTGCTGGATGCATGGATACCCGTCACACGCAATGAACCCCTGAAAGCATCTGTGGGAATCGTCCAGGTACCAGGGGACAAATTCAGGAACACAACACACAACCAACCGGAATTCAAATGTTCAAAGTCTCTCGTATCTGATCAACCACTTGAAGGGCCAGAAGGGGAGGCAAAAAAGACGAACTTAGCCATCGGAGTTCCACATGGATGATCCTAGCCTCCCCACATAGGGCCAATCACCAGCCCACGAACGGGGTGATGAGCGCTAACGAACACCAATGAACGCCATCATCAACTCAAAGGCCCAACTAGGTTCGCCCGCAGGGGCTTAATGGCATCTGAAACTGGCCAATGGCTCCATAACCAGGCGACCGGGTCCCCTCTTGGGCAGTGTTTCAGCCCTTACAGGTACTAAACCCTCTTGCGCAAGGCCCAAAGCCCGCTATTGGACCACTTTTACAGCCATCTCTGAACGTAATTCGATTCCGCTGCGGGCCTCGACTGATCACTTTACCAAACGAGAAATGAAGGGCAAAGGGCACACAGCTACTCGTGAGTACATATACTTTCGTTCCCCGTCTCCTCTTTTCTTTCTCTCGACCGTGCAAGCAGGGCTTCTTCCACAGTTCTATATCGTTTCTTTGTCGCTTCAATTTCGTCGTTTCCCCTCATTCCTTCTATCAAAATGTTCTTTCCTTCATTGGTATGTCCATACTTCTCATGAACCGGTGGTTGAGTGCGATATGGCCCACAGCTCCACCCCCAACCAACTATGGAACCATAGCTAATTTTGCACATAGATCCTGGCTGCTGGCAGCCTGTCCACTCTCATTCAAGCCATTCCTCATGGCGCGAAGCACCATCACTCTTTGCACCGTCGCGCTGCTGCTACCTATGCTGTCATGGGCGGTGACGGTGAGGCATCCGACGGATGGCCTACCATTAGCCAATGGTCGGAGTACGAGACTCTGTGAGTAGATCACCCCGAAACGCGAAGCATATCGTCGCGCTAAACATTTTTTTCTAGCTGGGGTCTCAACCAAATTCTGATTGCCGCATCATGCGACAACTCTGACGACGAAACAAGCGACATTAACACTAGCATCAAGTCGATCGCCAGCGAAACTGGCGTCGACGCTCGATTCATCCTTGCAATTATTATGCAAGAAAGTAAGGGCTGCGTTCGCGTCCAGTCCACCAACAACGGTGTTGAGAATACTGGTCTCATGCAAAGCCACGATGGCGAGGGCTCCTGCAATAAGGACGGTAGCAAAACAACCCCCTGCCCCTCCTCCATGATCACGCAAATGATCCAAGACGGCACCGCTGGAACCACCCAGGGCGACGGTCTCAAGCAGTGCTATGAGGCCCAAACCGGTGGTACTGCGGCCAAGTATTACAAGGCCGCCCGCACATACAACTCTGGCTCTATCGCCTCATCCGGCAACCTCGGCCAGGGCGGCGCAACCCACTGCTATGCCTCCGACATCGCCAACCGTGTCCGCGGCTGGGCCGGCGACGTGAGCGAGTGCGTTGAAGCTACCATTGGAACCATTACTAGCGGCGTAGAGTCGGCCCTCGGTGGGGACGACGGCTCGAGCAGCACCTCTACCTCAACCACTGCTGCGCAGTCCACGGAGACTGCTGAGCCTGTCCAGACCTCGTCCAGTGCTGCAGAGCAGCCTGTGACCACCGAACCCATTCAAACCTCCTCTGCTCCTGCCCAGGCAGCCGAGACATCGTCTGCCGCATCATCCGCCACATCCACTGAGACCACCTCTGTGGCACCTGCCCCCACCTGGACCCCTAGTTCGAACGTGCAAGTAGCCGCACAGACCACCACTCCGACTCCATCCTGGACGACCAAGTCTGCGCCAGCTGCAACAACTGCACCAGCAGCCTCCAGCTCAGCATCCGGAACAGCCCCTCTCTACCCCTACGCCTCCTCATCATGCCAGAAGTACTACACCGTTAAAGCCGGTGATTTCTGCGACAAGGTGACCGAAGCTGTTGGAATCTCGTTCCTAGATCTCCGCAGCTTGAACCCTGGCCTCGACGAGAAGTGCTCGGATCTGTGGCTCGGATATCAGTACTGTATCAAGGCTTAAGTGCGAGCCTCTGATTGATCTACTTTTGGATCTATCTACCTCCTTCTTTCACTGATTCCCAAGATCTTTTGGATCTACTTTTACCCTTCTTTCCTCTCCTTAAGGCGGTGCCTTCTTTGTATATAGCATGAGCTTGCTCTGCAAAAATTGGCTGTGGGCGATGCTGGCACCCGCCCATGGTCTTTTTACGATGAATGACACCAACAAACGCTTCTTTTACCACAATTCTTGGCTTTGCACAATCTTTGATCCTCGTAGAGTATGCGTAGACACATGGAATACCACTTTGGTGGGCTTAAGTCTAAATGGATAAGCATAGTACTTTTTGTAGTCGACAACACCACCCACTTGGAAGACTTGCACGTGTATTGCTCATTGCAGCAGTTCTCTGGCAATTCTCGTAAGGACTGTAGCAGTCCTGCTCTTGCAACGGAAGCGGTGAAAGCACATTCACACGTATTTGCGGTCTCTAGAAATGGGAATGCCCGAGTAGCTGTGATATTATTTAAAAACTCCATATCTGCCAATGGAGTGTTTTTTGAGTTTCCTGGCTTGTCGCTGGGTATTAATGTCATTGTGAGTTGGACACAAAGGCAGACAAAGAGTAACGCTTTGGCCGTGTAGAAAAAATGGAAAATGTGACAAAGCTATTGTTTCAATGAAAGCTGAGTGTCTCTGCTAAAGGCCCGAAATGAAAGAATTCAGTCGAAAATCCAGCATGGCTTTCTCTCTCTGATCTTCTATTTAAACAAACTTGAGCCCCGTGTGTCTGTTCATATTCGGCCATTGCAGTCAGCGATTTAATCTACCAAACAGTCACCAAGTTCGTCAAGAAACTCTCAATATGATGCAACCAGGTATGTTCAGATATAAGTTTGGGGGTCCAGGTCTTCCTGAGTGGGAGATGAGTGATTACGAATGCGTTTATTTTGTGACAGTGCATTTCCATGAGAGATACAGGAAATATTCCAGCGAAAAGCTCATGCAAAGTATGATCCGTCGAATCAAAAATGGGAACGCTGAGGTCAGCCTTAAGCCTCTCCATCGCCTCACTCCGCGGTGTATCTCAATGCCAGTCTATGGACCCTATGACGCCCCGAGTGCGGTCATTCTTGCAACCGCTAGAGAAGTTGCAGAGACGCGCTTGAATGAAATCCACCAAGGATTTGTGGAGATCGACATGGATCTTCTTTTCGGCGGTGAAAATTAGAATATCATGCTTCGATGTTTTTCGAACTTGATATTTTGGCTTGCAATATATGAATAAAGTCTTCTGCTTTTCTAATTCAATGTTCTTCTGTTGTACATCACCCGTAGTAAATAACTGATATATCGTACATTCTTATTCTGGCACTTTGATACTAGCAAAAAAGACATGCATTTAGTAAAAGCTAGTAGCTGTCTATCATACTCTAGAGTAGGACGACCACTAACTCAAAAGACCTACATCTTAGTCTAGGTAACTGTTTAATTGCAATTAGCAACAAGCGACACATGGGCTACTTCATCTATGAGTTCATACCATAATCATGATCCTCCTATCGTGTTAAATGTAGTATAAATAAACAATAGATATCAAGTTTTTAACTGAAGTTCTCCCCCTTCTACAGCCAGCCGAATAACCTCCTTGTTCAATCCCTCCCACCGAGTCCGTCCCTTGATAAACCAATATACGAAAGCAAACAAAGTAGTGGCACCAAATATTGGTGCCGCATAATTCATGTTCTCGCCAGTAACTGGCAACGCTGACGGGAATGCTAGCCACACTGTTACCCAGGCAGTATACACTAAAGCAAAGACATTGACCGGAAGTCCCCAGATACCCATATTCCAGTTTCCAAGGGGCGCCGCATGCTTTTGAAGCCGATTGTGCACCATGCAACTAATAGCAATAAAATATGACACAAAGAGGCCGATCGACCCGAGTGCAACGAACGCCCCAAAGGCGGCACCGTCGGCGATGTTCAAACACGCTAGAATCATGACAACGAGTACTGGAAGCCAAACGGCACGGATTGGGACGTTGTGCTTTCGGTCGATCTATCGTTCTTGTTAGCAAATATCTTCTTCGTCGTCTTTATAGTACCGTCTACTGCGGGTAATACATACATAACTAAACCACCGAGGTAGGGCTCCATCACGAGCCCACGCCCACGTCAATCTTGAGACAGACGCGATGCTCGCCAGGTTGACGGACAGCGAGATTACAAGTAACCCACTCACCATTGCGGTGGCGGCTTTCACGGACCCGGTTGCTTGCCGGCAGATCTCGATTATCGGGAAGCTGGATTTCTGGGCTTCCTCCACCGAGCCCATCGTGAAGAGCATGCAGATGACCATTGCGTATGCCAGGATACCGTTGGCGACGACGGTATAGAAAATAGACCTAGGAACGGCTTGCTTTGCTCGACGGACCTCTTCACTCATGTGTACTGCGCCGTCAAAGCCTGCAATACTTAGCTTGCTGTCTGTGCTTCTTCCAAGCATGTAATGTGTACGTACCAACAAACCCCCAGACAGGAGTCAGCAGACCTATGTTCCATGCGGGGAAGTTCGCCCAGCCCGAGGTACTTTGCGCGTGTAGAAAGACAAATTCTGGTGTGTGACGAGGTGCTAGAGCTGTGAACACAACCAGAAACACAATCAAAAGGCAGATGTGCAGAATACCCGCTAGCATTTCAATCCACGGAATTAGCCAAAATGTGTACATGTTCATCAAAGCCTCGACAATAAGCATGCCGACAATGATGAGAGTTATGTGCCATTGCTTTGGCTCGTACTCTGGGTAGTTCACGCTCGCTAGACCCTGGATCATTGTCGCAGTGGTGTTGGCAACACCGGCGAGTGTGGAGATCCACGCAAACCAGGTCACCCAACCTAGATAATGTTAGCCTTGAGCAAGGAAGTATTCCATAATTGACACACCCTGCATCCAAGTGATGAATTTTCTCTGACTCGGCGGTGCCAGGTAATGTGTCCAGTGATACTGAGCCCCGGCAATTGGTTGCATCGATGCCATCTCTGCTAGCGAGGCAGATTGAGCCATTGCACCGAACACCACAATCACTATACCCCAAGCCAAGGCTTCAGGTCCACCGTTTGAGAGCACCGTGCTCAAATTCCTACAGAGTGGTCGCGTTATTAGTGCGGAAGCACAACAAGGGATACAACTCTCATACAAAGCCTGAGTTTCCCAGCTCGACAAGTAAGTAAGTGAGAAAAAAAATATCTGGGTGAAATTGAAAAGTCGCTATCTACTGTCTCAGCTAGGAAAATTCCATCGAATTAAGGAATCGTACCTTAGGCGAAGCCTGCTCCGTGGGTCCAGTTCTTTTAAGCGGGCGGTCATAGGCATTGGAGACGTTTGCATCTCGATCTGGTGCAGCCTTTCCAACGACTTTATTTCCCCTCTCGAAAGAGAGCATCTCAAGGCGCTCCATTTGTTCTTAGCAGAGCAACAAGTCAGTCGATGACGGGAAACAAAATATTAGACAAGTCTCAAAGAAAGATCGGAGAAAGAAAAAGCAAAACTGGCATAAAGGCCATGAATCCAAAAACAAGGATTATGCAGAATCCTTGTCTTACAGTGGATCGTCCTTGTCTTGCCTGGATGGGATCGGCGTGTGCTGCAGCACCAGTATTCGGCCTGCTTTGGAGGTGGGACCAGAAGATGCACGGTTGTGGAACTTGAGATAGACCGATCAGTCGCAAGACAGGAATTATCGTGCTCGTGTGCCTCTGGTGGTGTGAAAGATCCAATAAAGAATCCGATATGAGGATACTCGGACAGTGGTTGGTTTCTCCATATATCATGTAATGTCTCTGCTAATCTACGGCATAAACATGATCTTGTTTAACGATATCCAACAAAAATCTTTCGACTGCCATGTCGTCCAGTATAACCGTTCTCCTACCGCCCCTCTTGCCTGTCACTGATAATGATCATAGTGCTTGGGTGATCACCGTGAGCACTATTCTACTTATTATCACTATCCTTGCGACAACAGTCACCTTGATATCTCGCATCCGCGTCTTGCGCAGAGTTTCCTGGAGTGATTCAACTCTATTTCTCAGCTGTGTAAGTGACTTTTCATCCACTGATTTCCTTCTCTAATCAATTCACTAGATCCTATTTATTCCTCAGACTGTGTTTGTGAATATAGCCAGCACCTATGGCATTGGTAAACACCGATATGCATTGAGCAATGCCTCATTTGAAAAGTATAGCAAGGTAAGAAGGTTAAGCACTTTGTCCAAATCTTGAGGCTATATTTTTAACATAATCAAGGCACTCTTCACTAGTCAACTCCTCGCCGTTCTTGTCTTAGGATGTTCCAAGGCTGCCGTTGCACTTCTAGTCCTATCTTTGCAACCCTTTGAGAAAATAACGCTTGCATGTAAGGTTGTTCTGGGCTTGATCGGTGCCTGGGCCCTGGCTGCACTCATAGCACTAGGGAAACAGTGCGACGAGCCCCAACCGTGGAACTCCAGCCCCGAGCGATGCGTGAACCAAGAAGCTTTATATATCGGTTTGGGAGGCATACACATGTTATTAGATGTGTTGATCATCGGGCTGCCAGTTGCTTTGCTACACCAAGTCCAGATAATACGGTGGAAGCGTCACCAAATCTCTGCCCTGTTTGCGATGCGGATCCTGTGAGTAGATCTTCAAGCACTAACAAAATTCATGTCTAACTCCATGCAGTGTTCTAGCCTTGACCATTGCTGGCCTACACTCACTTCCACCAATATATGACTCTAAGCCCCTAGATCAAACATGGCATACCCTCATGCCAGCCATCTGGCTACAACTAATCCTCAGCTCATCAATTCTCTGCACATGTATCCCAACCCTCAAACGTGTCCTCGCCGAGCTCCAGACAGGCATGATGGCCGGTGTGGTTTCAGACTTTTTTGAGCATTCCGTCTCGGGTCATACCAACTCGGGAGATCGATCAGCGTCCAAATTCGATAATGCCGTTGGGCAGAGATCGGGATCGGGATCGGGATCGGCGTCTCGCTCCCCAATTCTAAGAGACTCGCTAGATGTCGAGCGCGTGGACAGCCAAAAGAGCCTGCGCGAAAATGCCATTGTGCAAACGATCGACTACGAGGCCTTTTACGAAGGGCCTGGTTCTTCTAGGGCCTCATCTTCCCATGGCTGTGAGAGCGATGCTCGGAGCACATATCCACATGTTGAAACCTCAAAGCGACTGGTGCTCAAAGGTTGAGATTATTCCTGAGAGAGTATATCCACTCTTGTGGATATATTTATTTGTGTAGAAGTTGCGCCATTATATCCCCAATTAGATTATGTTGCGTTTAGAGCGTATATATTTTTTCGAAGTATTCCGCCATCAAACTATGTAGATCAGTCAATATATAGATCTCCTTTGGAAATCTTGGATGATATCTCATTTCTCCTGTATAAGGTTACAAGTGAGGTGCGAGATACGACTGGAGCATCTGGTGCCTACATCGTATTCCCCAGAAGGTCTCCTTTTTCGCCCCCTATGGGGCTGTGGATATCAAGTCTGGGACCGGCAATTGATGTTCGTCTCGGGTAGGTTCTGTGATGAATAAATGAATTTACACAGAGTAAATCCGTTTTCTGCCATTTAAAAGTTTATCCCAGGAACTAACCACATTGAGGTAATTTCTAAATGATTCTCAGTGAGCAATATTGACTCACGGGAAACGGGGACTTGGTGGGGCGATTGGTTATATATCCACTCGAGCGGAATAGAAAAGCTTAAGAAGGATGCTACATGCTAAAACTGCTTTTTTTGTTTTGTTTTCTAAACAATGACAGACCACGTTCTTGATATCCTGGGCCAAACCCCGGACCTCTACAAGCTATACACACAAATATGTTCCATTTATCGTGTCCCCGAGACATCTTCTCATGACACCATCATCGATACTCTAAGAAACGGACTTGACCGACTGGCAAAAAGTTTCCCATGGCTTACTGGCCAGGTTATCAATGAGGGCGCAGGGGATGGTAATACGGGTATCTTCAAAATAACTCCCCTCGAAAAAATCCAGCTCGTGGTGAAAGATCTACGACATGACCCCTCCGCACCGACAATGGACGGGCTTCGCCAGGCCAAGTACCCTTTTACCATGCTCGACGAGAACGTAATTGCTCCTTGCACGACTCTAAACCTACCGGGGAATTTGCCAAGTATCACGACCGAGTCAGCATTGGTGTTCTGTGTCCAGGCGAATTTTATCGAGGGCGGTTTGATTCTCACGCTGGTCACTCAGCATAATGTCATGGATATGATTGGCCAAGATTTCATCGGCGGATTGCTGTCCAAGGCATGCCATAATGAGCCTTTCACAAGCGAGGACCTTGCAGTCGGGAACATGGATCGGAGTCATGTCATTCCACTACTGGATGATTCGTACACCCCGGGCCCTGAGCTCGATCGCCAGATTGTGAAACCCCCGCCAAGCGTCAAAGATATTGTCTCGGATCCTGTTACACCCCTAAAATCTACATGGGCTTACATCGAACTCTCTGCGGCACAGCTTGGCTCCCTCAAATCTCTCGCCACGAATACATTGCCCGCCTCCACGGACTTTATCTCTACGGACGATGCTGTCAGCGCTTTTATCTGGAAATCCATCGCCCGTGCCCGGGCTTCTCGCCTGGAACCGACTTCTAAATCGATGTTTACGCGCGCAGTCGACATGAGACAGCGTTTTGGGTTCCCCCAGGGCTTTCCAGGTCTCCTGCAGAATTTGACATACAACACCAACACTATCCAGAAACTATCCGAAGAGCCCCTAGGTATCGTTGCCGCCGAGCTTCGGTCCCAGCTCGATCCCAAGAAGAATGATCTTGTATTCAATACACGTGCCCTCGCTACAGTTCTTAGCCGCTCGGCTGACAGGACCAAGGCGTCTTTTACTGCCACAGTCAATGTTTCATCGGATTTTATGCTTAGTTCGTGGTCGAGGATTAGCTGTTATGATCTCGATTTCAATCTGGGATTGGGCAAACCCGAAGCTGTGCGAAGACCACACTTTACCCCCTTTGAAGGCTTGGGGTACTTGATGCCTCGATCAGCTGCTGGTGAAATGCCTGTTGGTATCTGTCTGAGAGATGAAGATTGGGAGCAGTTAAAGGTAGATGGGGAGTTTACTAAATATGCTGAGTATATTGGATAATATATTTTTTTTAAAGGCATGTGAATAATTATCAAAATGATCTAATAATACCCATAAATATATCCATGGATACTATCCAGGTACATAGTTGAGGGTATCGTAGCATCCACTGTCGATCACCGTCTCCGCATTCCGTCGTCTCCGCATTTGGGAACTTGGAAGAGTCTCCTTCCTTCACTTCTCACCCTCTCTGCCCTTTTACTCGATTCCTTGCGATAATACTACTTAGGTTTACGTTAAATTATATCAAAACGTTATTGTTTGTTGTCTCTTCTTCCTAACCTAAAACCGTCAACATGGGTGGGGAAGTTCCCTTTCGCCCCGCTCCTCCAGCTTTACCCCAGTTAGCTGAACACCCGGTCGGCCAACGTATCAAGAAGATCTACACCGATCGTTTGAACCAGTTCACATCGAACGGCCAGTATGAAGGCCAAAACCTCGTCTCAAAGTATCACGAAGCCACAAACTCGGACGAAGATCATGTCAAGCTCTCTGTTTACTCGGTTCCGGACCTGCAGCGACCAACCTTCAAAGAGGCGACCGCTCAGGAATTCAAGCCAACTCACATAGGCGCCTCTTTTGGTCCTAGTTGGTCCACGCATTGGTTCCGTATTCACCTCACAGTACCCGAGGACATGCTCCAACGGGAGCATCTAGAGTTCCACTGGGATGCCAACAACGAAGGTTTGATCTGGACAGAGGACGGTCATCCGCTACAAGGCTTGACCGGAGGTGGAGAACGGACCGAGTTTATTCTCCCCAAAGATTGGTGCGATGGAAAGCAGCATACCTTCTATATTGAAATGGCTTGCAATGGCATGTTTGGCAATGCTCCTGGTGGCGATTCGATCCAGCCACCCAATCCCGATAAACACTTCACGCTCAGCACGGCACGAATCACTGCGATAAATCTAGCTGCCCGAGCACTTTACTATGATTTCTGGATTATTGGGGATGCCGCCCGAGAATTCCCAGGTGAGTCGTGGGAGTCGCATGAAGCCAATGTCGTGGCCAATTCTATCATCGATACCTTCATTGCCGGCAATGGAAGCAATGAGTCTATCAACGAGGCGCGCAAGATTGCTAGAAAATATCTTGGCAACAAAGTGGATTCGTCCGATGTGTACGACACACACACACAGCCAATAGTTTATGCAATTGGCCATTGTCACATTGATACTTGCTGGCTGTGGCCTTGGGCTGAGACTAAGCGAAAGGTAGCACGGTCGTGGTCTAACCAATGTGATCTGATGGAACGGTATCCTGAGCACCGTTTTGCCTGCTCTCAGGCTCAACAATTCAAATGGCTTAAGCAGTACTACCCATCCGTCTTTGATCGCGTGAAGCGATGGGTAAAGAAGGGCAACTTTCAGCCTGTCGGTGGGAGCTGGGTCGAGCATGATACAAACATGCCAAGTGGAGAATCGCTGGTAAGGCAGTTTTTGTATGGCCAGCGATTCTTCGAGGCAAACTTCGGTAAACGAAGCACAACTTTCTGGTTGCCAGATACCTTCGGGTACTCTACCCAAATCCCTCAGATATGCCGCCTGGCTGGGATGAGCCGTTTCTTCACCCAGAAGCTCAGCTGGAACAACATCAATAACTTCCCTCACACTACATTCCAGTGGGTTGCGCTTGATGGCAGCCAAGTCATGTGCCACATGGCTCCTGCCGAGACCTACACGGCTGAAGCGCATTTCGGCGATGTCAAGCGCAGTGTTACTCAGCACAAGTCGCTAGATACAGACAAGACATCCCTACTTGTATTTGGGAAAGGTGATGGAGGTGGTGGCCCGACCTTTGAGCACCTCGAAAAGCTGCGTCGCTGCCGTGGTCTCAGTGACCAGGTTGGCTTATTGCCCCGAGTCCAAATGGGCGAGTCTGTAGATGACTTCTTTGCAAAATTGGAGGCAAAGGCTGCGTCCGGCACTGATTTTGCCACCTGGTACGGCGAGCTCTACTTTGAGTTGCACCGTGGTACATACACCACTCAGGCAAACAACAAGCGCAATAACCGCAAATCTGAGTTTTTGCTGCGTGAGATCGAGCTTCTTGCAACCTTTGCCACCATCAATGCTTCCCGTGGTGGATATAAGTATCCCAAGAAGGAAATTGACGAGATGTGGGAAGGAACCCTCCTTTGCCAGTTCCATGATTGCTTGCCGGGTAGCTCCATCGAGATGTGCTATGACGACTCAGACAAGTTATATGCCGAAATCTTTGAGACGGGAGCCAAGCTGCGAAAGAATGCCCTCGAGGCTTTGGGACTCACCGGTGATGCCAGGAGTGAAAATTTCATGGCTCTCAACACCTTGCCATGGCCACGCTCAGAAGTCGTTGCAGTTCCTCCAGCAGTGTCCGCGTACAATGGATCCAGATACGCTGTGGCTGTTGGTACAACTGGAGTGATGCAAATCCAGCCGGCTGACTTCAAAACAACCACTTCGGTGACCGTATCCGAGATCAAATCTGGTGTCTTCCGGATGGAGAACGGTAAGCTCAGGGTTGATGTTCAGGATGGGGTTATTACATCCTTATACGATGTGGAAGCCGATAGAGAGATCGTGGCAAAGGACCGCAAGGCTGGCCAGCTAGTCATATTCGATGACAAGCCTCTTTACTGGCAAGCATGGGACGTTGAGGTGTTCCATCTTGAATCACGAAAGGAGTTGCCCGGGGGCAAGACGACCATTTTAGAAAATGATCCGCACCGTGTGAGTGTCATGACTGAGACGCAGATCAGCGACAAGAGCTGGATCAAGACCACAATTAGCCTGTCGGCATCCATATCCGATGAGCCCTCATACGTGGAAATGGAAAGCGAGGTGGAATGGCAAGAGACTATGAAATTCCTCAAGGTCGAGTTCCCAGTTGATATCACCAACACCGAAGCATCCTACGAGACCCAGTATGGTATCGTCAGGCGCCCGACCCATTATAACACCAGGTATGCACCGACCTTCCACATACTTCACAACGATACTAATTACTCTGCAGTTGGGACATGGCCAAATTCGAAGTCTGCTGTCACAAATGGGCCGACCTCTCCGAA